CCTCAGCTTGCCCACCAGAATTGGGTGGGACACTGTGTCGAAGGCCTTCTGGAAGTCCAAGAAGATGACATCGACTTCCTCCTTCACATCTAAGCTCTTTGTTAGCTGGTCATAGAAAGAGACCAGGTTAGTCAGGCAGGATCGGCCTGGCATGGACCCATGCTGGTTACCCCTCAACATCACTTCCCCTGCAGGGCTCTCACAAATGTGGCCCTGATAATTTTTTCAAAGACCTTCCCCAGGATAGAAGTGAGGCTGACTGGCCTGTAGTTGCCAGGCTCTTCCTTCTTCCCCTTCTTGAAAATAGGGATCACATTGGCCCTTTTCCAGTCCTCAGGGACTTGGCCCGAGCACCAGGAGTCCTCGAACAGCCGTGCCAGTGGCTCCGCAATGACACCAGCCAATTCCCTCAGCACCCGTGGATGAAGGTCATCCCGGCCCGCCAACTTGGACACATCTAAGCCCTCCAGGTAATCCTTAAATTTATATCAGAGACCCTTGTATATAATCCCTGCCCTTATCTTTCTTCCTCCTGAAATGAGATAATCCCATTATTAAGATGTTGGGGTAGAGACACGACTGAACCACAACCAACTCAGGTGTGGCTTCATCACAGGGCTGAGGAGGTAGGAATAGCATGAGGGAGAATGCCTCAGTTCTCAGCACTAGCAAAACTAGCTTGGAGCCTGGCACAGAACGAAAAGGTCCCCCCAGTTTCTTTTGCTCAGTGAGAAGCTGCATGCCTGTCAGTGCTGGAGTCTAGCATTACAGGCCAGGCAGCCCGCAGCCTGGGAAACAGCTGGCTCTGGGAGCTACAGAACAAATGGTTTTTCTGGATGGTGTTGATTTCACCACAAGCTGCACTTCCATCCCACAGGCAGGATAATCCATGGCCCTGCCTCAGCACTTGCTCCTACCCTGTCCCCTGCTCTCTCCACAGCAAGCAATGGGGCTCTGACCATCAATCCAGGCATCCTCAGATTCTGCAGCATGAGCAGATTATCTGCATAGAAATTGCCCCTGCTGCAATGGACAACAGAGTTCCCTTTCACAGGGAGGCAGCCACCCACTAGATTTTCATCAACCCCAATGCTTGGGCAAGAAAGGCCTTTTTGTTACACACAGCAGCAGCTGTTCTCTTGTTGGTGCTGAGTGAATGAACTCTCCAAAAGGTGCTTCCCTGCCTGGCTGGGGCCCCTGCCTTGGCATTTACCCTGACAGAGAGGCCAAGGTTTGGCATGCAAGGCCAGCTGCACTCCCCACATTGCTGTGCCAGGTCTCGCATACTGCTGCCTACTGCTCCCAAGTATGGGCTGCCTTTCTGACATCCAGGGTCCAGCAGCCACTGCTTCTTTGGTTCTGTAGGGGACTTCTTTACAGGGAAGGCTGGGGTGCTGCTGGGCATGGCAGAAGTGCCCGGTATAAGAAGCAATGTTATCACCTCCCCTTGAGCTGGATTGGTGGCTGGGAAACTGAATCCTGATCCTTCTCTCACTTAAGTCGGTGCAACTCCAGTGGCAGTACTCCTGGTTTGTACCGGAGTAAGTCAGAGGAGAATTGGGTCCTTGGCTTCAAAGATTGCTCCTGTTCCTCTTCCAGGCCTCCCACCCACCAGCATGTCTGGCCTAGACCCTGAGCTTCTGCCTTCTTCCCCAGAGCCAAGCTCTGAGTTCAGCTCAGTGGTGCTTCAGGTGATAGCCAGGAAGGTGGTGGCTCTGGAATACTGAGTTCAAAGTACACCGGAGGCCACAGGGATCTATGCAGAGAGCTGGAGGGCTGTGCAGAGGTTCTGCACAGGGTGCTCAAACCAGTGCCTGAGTGGGTCTGTATTGGAAAACATGGTGTGCACTTGTAACCAGAGCATTAGCTGGCAGGGCCTCTACATTAAACCCTGACCAGAATACCAGAACCTGGGGAAGTGCTATGCAGATGCTCCCCACCACCCCAGGGAGACAGGCACCAGCAAGAAACTTGGGCAGGAGTCAGAGTCACAGCTGGGAGTGAAGCCCTGGGTTCCTGGCACCCACCCCCATGCTCAGCTCACTAGACCACATCGTCTGTCTAAGGCAAGGAGGCTTTGTTCTGCCTCTGCACCGTGGGAGAAAACAGCTACCTCTGTGTGTAGGGTGTGAGTGGTTCACAAAGTTTCAGGTCCTGGGTTTAGACTCCACTCAGCCTAAAAGCAGGAACCTCCTGTGAATCAGAGCAGGTTACATAGGCCCAACCAGCCCATCGTGACCATAAGACTGAGGAGACACCTCCTCTGTTTTGCCCCATCATAGCTCCTACCCCCAGCCCCACCTTCTCTATGCAACAATCTCCTTGAACACCCAATGCAGCAGTGACGTGCTTGGCCACCGGCCAACACGTCTGCTGTTAATCGCATTCCATTCACAACAGCGCTCCGTGCAGCCCGCCTGCTCCCCCTCCCGCCTCCCCAGCCACGCTGACCCATTCACTTCCTCTCACATCAAACCTCAGCAGCTCTGATCTCCCGCAATGCTGAGCACAGGCTGCCTTTTCTGACCTCCAGTCTATTGCACCATTCAGTGGAAGCACTTAATGGCCTTCCTGGATTCTGCTCAGGAAGGTCAAGGAGGGGCTCACTCTTGGGAGGGGCCAGGTATGGAAAGCAAGGAGTTAGTCCTCTCTAGTACCTTGGTGAGGGACCTGGCCTTCACTTGAAGTCTCATGTTGGCTGGGAAGACGAATGGGTTATGCTATGCCAAGGCACCTGAAGCCAAATGTGTAATAATCTTGACCAGTTCCAGACTGGGCCCCAAGAGCTCTGCTACTGCCCCTCCATCCTGACCTGCAGTTTCCTCCCTCTCATATTACACGG